CAAAGAGTTCTTTGTGGGTTTGTGACAGCATCCGCAGTCCTCCAGCTAGAAACCCTGTTCTTGCAAGCATTCATTCAACAGTTACCAAGTGAGCGCAAGCTGAGAAAGAGCCCCAGAGATGGGAAGAAACTGTAGGAAGAAGTCCGGCCAAGATGTGGGCATTTTGGATAGCCAGGGCCAGACTGTGGTACACTATGTCCAAAAGGCCATCTGTGTTCTTGGGAACTCAGAGCCCAGCGTATACCCTCTGGAGCCCAAGGAGCAAGGCCTTTCCCTTCTTTGCCAGCCGGGCTTTACCATGGGCCTCCTCTTGGCCTGCTCTTCCCTCCTCCACCCCCACCTTGTTCAACAGTAGCTCTGGAGAGCCCAGGGGAACACAAGAGTCCCCATAATATCTCTGGAGAAAGTGGCCTAGATGTCCCCTGCCCTGACTCTAGCCTGAACCCAGAGTTCAAGGCAGCCCCTCCTTAGTGCTCCCGCCTGTCCATTCATCTTTCCAGCCCTGGCTGTGCCCCACTTCCCTGTGACCTGCAGGTGCCCACACTCCTCCTGGGCCCTCTGTTCCTGCATGTGTCTCAGGAGGGGTCAGTGGTCCCCTCCACTTCTGTCACTGTGGGGCCGTCTGTCCCAGATGGGTGGGGGTCTCAGGCTTGCTCCAGTCATTCTTGGCCCATCAGCCGTCGTGTGCAGGGAGAGGAAGCAGGCAGCAAAGTAGCCCCTTTCCGGGTGTTCATAGGGGCCTAATCCCCCTTCTAGTGGCCTCAGACCTGAATTCCTCAAGACTGATCTTCACAAATAATAGGGATGAGACCCTGAAACTGGGCCTGGTGTAGGAGTTGGGAGATCATTTAACTCCTGCAGCCCACCAATAGCCACTGAGCTGTGCCCCCAGCCCCTGCACACCCACAGGGGTGAGCTCTCCTGCTCTCCCTGCCTCCCAGCTCACTTTTGCTCCCCTTCTATCAATCCTGAGTGGTCCTGTGACCATCCGAGGTGGAACTGAATTCCCCTCAAATTCCTTGAATATGGCTGGCCTTAGTGACTTGCTTCTAACGAACGGAATATAGCAGAAGTGATGCTGTGTCACCAAGGCTAGGTCAGGAACAATGATGTGGTTTCCACCTGCTCTCTCTCTCTCAGGACACTTGTCCTTAGAGCCCAGCACCCCTGCTGTGAGAGAGCCCAGGCCACACAGAGAGGCCACATGCTAGCACCAGCCACCAGACAAGGAGTGAGGCAGCCTTCAGATGATTCCAGCCCCGGGTTTCCAGCTGCCCTAGCAGGTCCCCAGGGGAGCAGAGACAGCTGTCCCCACCAAGCCCTGCCCAAACTGTAGGTTTGTGAGCAAAATAAAGGTTAGGGGTGACTTGTTACAGAGCATTAGATAATTGGAACAGGTTGCAGCCCTGGCTGCTGCTGCTTTCTGCTCAAAAGGTTGTGTCAGGGGAGATGTGAGAAGGTTCTTCAGCCTGAGGCCTCTGGGCTATGTGAGATCTCAGCACCCAGATTCCAGCCAGGCCACTCAGTTTTGACACCTATTTCTGCTACCCTTCCTAATTAGAACCCTATTCTGTCATCTACCTTAGTCCAGCTCAGAGCCTGGTGATGGTTAGGACAGGCCCTGTCTACATTTGCATGTGATTTGTGTGTGATTTGCATAAATTTAGGCAGTTTCTAAACATTTCCAGTAGTCTTCCTGAGGGAGGGGTAGAGCCCTGGAGGTTACTGGTCTATCCCCAACCCTGCAGGGTCTATTGGAACCCCTGCCTCCCCAGGCAGCCCTTGGGTGGCTGGAGTTGACAAAAAATTCCTGTCTGCAAAGTCCTGTGTAAAAATTCGTAGTCTTATGTCTATGATTCCAAGTTTAGTTCTCTCCTGTGGGATCATCGGGGCAAACCAGGAGCCTCCCTGGAGACTCAGGACAAGGATGACATGGGCCATAGACTCCTCTTACTTGGTTCAGCATCGCTGCTCTTGACCTGCCCTGTCCCAACCACCCCACCAGGCCTCTTCCAGAAGTGCCTGGTCAAGAGCTTTCAAATGTTCCTTTAGGAGCAGAAACTTATTTTCAAAGGAAACTTCATGAAGAGTGCAAAATGTAATGAACTAAATGTAGACCTGCTCCAGGTGATAGTGCGCAGGAAGAGTGAGGCCCCTAGAGAGCTCCCCAAAGCCCCAGCCCCAGCTGGGGAACCCAGTTAACAAACCACTGACCCACTGGGTTCCTTTCAAAAGGTGTCTGTAGGTATAAAACTGGCCTTCCAAACCAGCAGAGCCTTCCAGCAGTGAGTCCCGGCTCTCCAGTCCCACAGCAGCTACATCACACTGCTGCCTCTTTCTAAGCTTGAGGCCAGCTGAGACCTCCAGATCTTTGTCAGCATAACGCCATTAAGCTGAGTCACTCTTGGCCTATCATAAGCCTTAGCAGCCCCAGAACCCTGGCTTTAGGGACCTGAACTGAGAGATAGTGGAATACCAGAGAGCCCTGGCTGACTGGGGGTCTTGGCAGAGTACCCTAGAGTCATTCAGAGCCCCAGTTTCCTCAACTTTAGAATGAGGAGGAAAACAGCATGTAGTCCTGTTTAGCCAACACCTGGCGGGGGCTGGATACAGATGGACTGTTAATACAGAGCCCACAGCCGGATCTGTTTCCTCATGGGGAAGGAGGTGAGGGGAGACGTCAGAATGCAGACCCTGGAGCCAGGCAGGCTGGCCCTGTCACAAACTCTGGTCCTGTGTGAGGACCAGAGTGACTAGAGATTTTGGAGGCTTTTCACTTCTTCTTTTTTTAAATTTGTTACCCCAATTTTTTGTTAATTTGTTTCTCACTTTGTTGCCCTCTGGAGAGTGCTGTAGCGTCATAGCTCCCAGCAACCTCAAACTCTTGGGCTCAAGCCATTCTCTTGCCTCAGCCTCCCTAGTAGTTGGGATTACAGGTGCCGCCATAACGACTGGCTATTTTTGTTTGTTTACCAGCCCTGATGCACGTGGCTAGCACCTAACCACTGACCTACAGAAGCCCAGTCAAGGCTTTTCTCTTCTACTATCTCAGTTTCACACACTGTAAAATGCAGAGGATAGTCACTAGCCTTATCTGCCTAGCACGTGCCTGCCTACCGGTGTGTTACTGCTCTGACCCTTGAGGGCCCAGCCCGCCCAGCACCTCACACAGTCACCAAAAACTCAGGGATCACTTTGGCAACAGGACTTTTATTCAGTCAAAATGAGTAGAGTGTGACAAAACCCAGGTCAGGCCAGGTGGCCCCTCCTGCCCCAGCCCCACTCTCCCCAAGGGATTGGGGGCTCCAGAGAGAAGCTCCTTTTGGGGTCAGAAAGGTGCTGCCTCAGAGCTTGATGGCGCCCTTGGCATTGGCCCACCATATGGGAGAAGGGAGGGAACAGCCCTTCCGAGTCCACATGGATACAACTCTAGTTTTCTAGGAAAACACCACAAATTCTACCTTCTTCAGCTAATGAACTAAAGTTTAGGGTGGGGTGTCCCTAGAGGGTTGGGGGGTCAGGGATTTTTCTGGTCTAATCTCATTCTTAAGGAATACACTTATCTCTTTTATTTTCATTAAAAAAAAGTTTTTCTTCTGCTATTTAAAAAAATGTTTCTGAGTGTAACCAAAAATAAGCATTTGTTTCCTTGGTTTTTTTTTTCTTCTTCTTTAAGTAGTTTAAAGAATAACACAACAGAAAAGAGAAACAAAAAGTCACAAGAACGTAACCCTTAAACACACCTTATATAAAAATAGCTTCCAGCTGCATCTGCTGACAGTGGTCATTCCACTGTCGAAAGGGTGGGTTAGGCTAGCTATGTCCCCTGAGACAGAGGGCTGGGGTGCCTCTGCCAGGGACACCCACCCCCCACCACCCATCACACATGCAGTACATTCCAAGGGTTGGCTGGGCCTGCACAGGGGAGCGCTGCTTCTGGGCAAGACAGGAGACAGGCCGAAGGGTGATGTCCCACCCTCCCAAGGCCCAGGCAGGGAGGGAGGGTCACAGCATCCCCATAAAGGATGGGCTGACCGAGAGGGTTGAAATGGAAGTGGACAGATGAGACAAGAGGGAGCACAGGCAGCGTGCTGGGTGGTGGCTTGTTTGGATAAAAATTTATACTTCAAGGAACAAATTTCCTCTCATTTTTGGCTTTTTTCACATTTTCTCTCTGACCAATCCCATTTTCATTTCTGCAGGCCCCAAGGGGACCCCCTTGGTGACTCAGCCTCCAGCCTCCTCTCTGGGGGAGAGGCAGGTGGGGCTTTGGGTAAGCAGACAGGAGGGAGGGAGGTCCAGTGACACAACAGAGGCCGCAAAGCCAGCGAGCCTTGAGGTAGATGGGTTTTTCTTTTATACCTGGAAAGGGGGAAGTGCTTTTTTTTTATTCCTTTTTTTTTTTTTTTAAACTCTGGACAACAACATGGGGAGGGAAAGGGGGTGCCCAATAAAGGGGGCTTGAGGTAGGAGTGCATTCGGGCTCTGTGGGGTAAGGGGCGGAGGCTAGTGCCACACTCCCCCAAAGACATTCATTCCGGCTTGAGGTAGGTGCTGAGAGCCAAAACAGCAAAAATCCATCCTGAGAAAGCATGGTCAGTGGAGGGTGACAGAGTAAGGGCCCAGCCACAGCAGGGGCATATTTTTGGAGTCTAATTTACCTTCCTCTCTCTCTCTTCTCTCTTTTTTTTGTCTTTTTTGATTTTAAGGTTTGCTTAGAAGGAAAAGAAAATGTTAGCTCAGTTCCAAGTCATGTGGGTACCAGGCAGAGGTGAGGGGGTATTAGCCTGGCAGGGCAGGGGGGAATGGGCTCCTGCAGAGACCCTTCCTGCTCCTCAGAGGTGAGTCCCTGCTGAGGCTGCCTTGGGTCTTGAAACCGGAGGGGCAATCAGGACAGAAATGCTGAGGAGCCCTGAGGACTGTGATTCCCACATAACAAGAGAACTCCTGCTTTAACCTGAGAATGGGGGGGTGCCCCTCCAGAGCTTGCCAGACACTGGCTACTGTGCCGAGCGTGCTGGCCAGGCAGCTGGTCCTTCACTGAGGAGGCCAGGGCCTCCATCCTGGGGTGTCAGGGAAGCCATGGGGCCCGTGCATGGGGTCAGGGCCTCCGTTGTCCTCCCCTCCAGAAGGCTGAACCCCTGAAGTGGCAGCATGGAAAGTTGGGTCTCCTCACATGGGGTAGAGGCCGCAGTATCCTGCTGGGGAAAGGGATGGTCAGTCACAAAGGTGTCGGCTTGAGGGCCAGTCAGGCTTGTATTCAACCCTATTCAGGGCTGGGTCTCCAGGCCTTGCTGCCTGACTTGGGGCACAGAGAGAAGCACCAGCCATGACTTTTGTGCTCAGAAAAGACCAGGAGCTTGACTAAGGTTGATGACCAAGGAGGGGGCGGCTTGAAGGATTTGCTCAAGGCATGGGCACTCACCATGGGTCTGGGGCCCAGCTGCCCGGCCACCCCAGCTGGGGGGAATAGCTGCTCGAGCTCCTTCACATCCACGAGTTTCCCGTCACAGCCTAGCTGGCCCCGCTCTCCCCGTCCTGCCCCATTCAGGGCCAGGATGCCAGGGTCCCTCTGGCTTCGGGGACCCTGAGGAGGGGAGAGCTGGTTTTCCACATCCTTACAAAAGAGGACCCTAAGGGTGAGCCAAGAGTTGGGAGAGAAATGTGGGAGGGAGAAAGAACAAAAGAAGAGAGACAAAAGATAGTGGCAGCAAGCCCCAAACCCTTTCCCCTAGAGCCCCCCTTCTGCAGGCCTATTGCCACCCCACACCAGCCCAGGCGCAGAACATACCTGCCCCTCTGACCGAACAGAAGGAAGAGGACACAGAAGATGATGCAGGTGACCCCAATGTGGATGCCAATGACAATGCCTGTGGTAGATGTCTGGTTGGCGGCTTCCTCCTTCCGGCAGTCACATGGTGGGCTCAGGGCTGGAGGGCAAGTTGGGGGCTGCAGCTCTCCAGGCCTGAAGCACCCCACCTCTAGGGATTCCTCCCTCAGCTGCTGTCATCCCCAAGTGGGAGAGGCAACACTGGGGCCCCAGCCAGCCTTTCCATTTCCTTTTTTTGAGACAGAGTCTTACTATGTCACCCTCAGTAGAGTACTCATTATGTCACCCTCACAGCTCACAGCAACCTCAAACTCTCGGGCTTAAGCAATTTTTTTGCTTCAGCCTCCCAAGTAGCTGGGACTACAGGTGCCTGCCACAACACCGGCTATTTTTTTGTTGTTTTAATTGTAGTTGTCATTATTGTTTAGCAGGTCTGGGCCAGGTTTGAACCTGCCAGACCCAGTGTATGTGGCCAGCACCCTAACCACTGAGCTACAGGTGCTGAGCCCTCTCCGTTTCTTTTTGCCAGTTACTACTGAGCATTAACTTTGTGTCAACTGCTGGGAATAGCACCATATACGAACCATTTCATGCTTGCCACAGCTTTATAAAGTAGGTATCATTATCCTACTGAGGAGGAGAAAGCTGTGGCTTAGGGAGGTTAAGTAACAAGGTCATGTAGCTAGAATGTTGTGCAGCTAAATTTCAAACTGAGGCCTATTTCTCAAAGACTGCATGCACCGTCCTGCCCTTCGTCCTCCTCTCCACTCTCATCCCCCCACTCGGTCCCCAACCCTCACCTGTCCTCTCAGATGCTCCCCGCAAAGAAACGAAGCGGACTGTGGCATTGCCGTCTCCATGCTGGTTGTAGGCGAGTAGCTTCACCTCATACACTGCAGTGGGGTCTAGGGGAAGGCAGTGTGGCTGAGTGACTGCCCCTGCCCCTACAGGAGCATAGCTCTCTTCTGGCAGGGAAAGGGAGGTGACCCTGGCATACCACCTCCTGGTCCCCTGCACCACACCCTGCCCAGCTCCCCAGGCCCAGGGCTGTGTCTGCCTCACCGAGCTGGCTAAGGTTGTAGGAGGAGACAGTTCCAGGCAGCAGGATGGGGCCAGTGAAGGAGGCCTTGCTTGCTGGGCGGTAAAACAGCTTGAAGCCGCCTTCATGCTGGGTCAGCCGGGGCCAGGGCTCCCACAGCAGCTGCAGGGAGGAGCTGCCCAAGACCCGAACAGACAATGGGGGTGGAGCAGGGGCTGTGAGCAGAGAAGGAAGCCAAGGTGTGAGGGCTTGATCGAGGCTCTACCTTTCCTCCTTCCGCCTGTGACCCAGACCCCCAGGAGCCTGACAGTTCTCTGGCCTCAGATCCAGGGTGTGCATTTGCTCAAACGGCACCTTTCCATGAATTAGATCTCTTTCCTTCACGTAGGTCCAGCCCCCAACTTGGCCCCCAAACCAAGCACAACCTGAACAAATGTGCACAGTGGGTCTGCTCTGATAGCCCGAGTGTCTATAGTTTTGTACTCCACACCCAAGCCTCACCTTCACCCAGGGTGCTGGCCAGGGTGGGGATGGAGGCTGAGCTGGCCCCCCGAGGTGTGTAGGCCTTGATGTAGAAACTGTAGGGCGTGGAGGGCTCCAGGTCGCTCACCACGTGCTGAAGAGTGCTCTTGCTGACTGCTTCCTGATACTCTAGTTCTGGTGGGTCTGGGAGGCAAAGGGTGGGGCAGAGGAGGGTGAGGGACATGAGGGAGAGTCCTTCTGGCATTAGTGACATGAGGGCAGTCATGAGGGGAAGGTATTGGGTCAGGATGTGCAGGATCGAAAGGGATAAGGAACAGAGAATTTGGGCGGCAGAGCCAAGCTTGCCCTCCCAGCCCACCCACCGGCAGCCTTCCTGATGTGCAGGACATAGCCGATGATCTCCTTGGTGTTGATCAGGGGCTCACTCCAGGACACACGGACCTCAGTGGATGACACAGAGACAGCCCGCACATTCCGAGGAGGCCCAGGCAGCCCCTCGGCCCACAGTACAGTCAGGCTGGCACTGGCCTGTGATGAGCCCGCACTGTTCTCAGCTACACATTGGTAGATGGCCTCGTCTTCGGGACCAATTCCAGAAATGGTCAGTGTGCTGTGGGGGAGGGAGAGCTTCAGATCCCTCCTCCTCTCAGAGCATCCTTGGAAGTGGGCCAGATCTCCCATTTGAAAGATGGAAAAACTGAATTCTTCCAGTAGACAAATGACTTGTCTTGAGTTCTCCCCCCACAGTTAGTGGCAGACCCAGGACGAAAACTCAAGTCTCCAGACAACCAGTTACATGCCCTGCCCTGGCAGAGGGTGCAACCACCCATTGTGGGCCTCCCTCCCCCATCTCTTTCCCCCTCCTCACCCCAACATACACCACGCATGTACCTGTTGTTATTCTTGAGCCTGACGTGGCCTCCTGGCCCCAGGACCTGTCCATTCTTTAACCATGTGACATGAGGGGGTGGCTCACCCTGGGCTTGGCAGGTGAACATGGCTGTGGTCCCAGCTGGCCTGGAGATGGACTGTGGGTGTTGGACAAACTCGGCTGGGGCTAGGGAGGGTGGGCACAGAGAAGCATGTGGAGTCGTGAGGTCAAGGGGGGAGGGGAAGAGGCTGTGAGTGAAGGCATGAGAAAGGGGCGATGGGGACGCCTGAGGTCCACAGGGCACAGGATGGCCTCTGAACACACACCCACCTCCAGGTGGGGCTCAGCCCAGCTCAGGAGATGACCACCTCCCTCCTTCCCTGCCCCAGGCAGACCCAAGAGAGGACTCCATTTTAATGACTATTTAAATGACTGACATTTGTATCTCAGAGCAATGAAGCTGAGCTCTCAGTTCAGGAAATTGTTAAATAAATAAATGTGCTAATAGGTTTGGCTGCACCTTCAGAAGGTGGTAATGATAGGGAGATGGATGAGCCCTCAGCCCTGGCCCCTCCTCGATCCCACTTTCAATTCCACTCTCCTCCAATCCCAGGCCTCCAGCCTCTATTAACACCCAAGAAATGAAATGCTCCATCACCTTCATTTGGACAGATTAACAGCACATGGAATGCTAAACAAACGAGCATTTAATTCCTAATTCTCCCATTTTCCTCCCCTTCCTCTGTTCTCAGGGAGGGAACAACCACAGAAAACTCCCTGAAAATGTTAATCCAAGCCCAGTTCACAGGGCCAAGGGCTGGACAGAATGACATGGTCAGCTGCACCATGGAGGCAGGCTCTGCATGTGTGGGGTGGGGGAGCTGCAGCACGATGTGAAAATGACAAGCACTCTGGGGGTGCACAAGCAGGCAGGTGTGAGCATGGATGTGCCACATGCATCCGGAAAGCAGCACATGGGGGGCCACGTGTGAGCGACACAAGTAGGGGGCTAGCTGAGATAAGAAAGTGAAAATGACTCCAGGGTGGCCCATTCCTAGGGCAGAGAGCTGCCACCTTTGGCTTGGCTTGGGAGCCAGGTGAGGGGCCAAGGCACAGGACTGGCATGAGACAGGAACTGGGCTTGGGCTTCGGCCAGGGATGCTGATGAGACAAGGAGCAGGGCAGGAGGAAGGGCTGTGTGGAAGTCCTTTCCCCCTTCTGGGGTTGGCTGGTCCATACCTTGCACCACCAGCCGGCCCTGTGCTGTTCTCCTCACCCGGGTACCAGGCCTGTTGGCTGCACAGACATAGACGCCGGAGTGCTGGACGGTCACATCTGAGATAATGAGGTTTCCTGTGCCTAGCACCTGGATGCCCTCCACCCCAATGGGGCGGCCGTCTGAGGAGGAAGGGAGCAGGAGATGAGCGAGGGTCAGAGAGAGAGGTGTGGAATTCAGGGGGCTCACCTTCCACCAGTCTTCCAGGGCTCTGCATCTTCCCTCCCAAGCACCTTAGCATTGTAGAGGGGGCAGAGAACTACACAGAACGCTCCCGTGGCAGCAGAGACCCAGAGCCCAGTCCTAGCATCATCCCTGACTCACTGGTGATCCTAAAGTCCCTTCCCCTCTATTTCATAACCCATAAAGTCAGGTGTTTGGGTTCCATCAACATTTCCCAGGCTGGTTGGTCTCTCTTAAAAAAAGTTCCATGGTCAAATATGCATTCCACTCCTGGATGGTTGGTCCCACTGCCCATGAATATAAAGGCTCTGAAAAGTCCTGCAGTAAATGCACTTGGTTAACTTTATTTTCCAAACTTGTTAGACCACTAAGTCATTCTTTCCCGCCTGACAGATCACACTTTGGGAAATGTTGGACCAGATGGTCCTTGCAGTGCCCAGAGGCTCCTCCTAATGGTGAGGCCACTCTTCCCAGCCTCTCCTAGAGACCCACACCGCTCCCCCCCAATCAGGATCAGATTAGCACAGTCAGAATACAAGGAGACAGCTCCCCATTCAGCCCCTGAAGTGGTGAAATCTACTCCATTATCCTGCCTGCTGCCCCCTCCTTCCCCAGTCACTCAGCTGCTACAATGTGGCACAGTCTCCTTGTGAATGCGACCCCACCCCACCCCCTCCGGAGTTTCCTTCCCCTGAGTGACCTTTCTGCTCAGACAATGTGGGCCCATCTGCACCCTTTCATTTCTCTCCTTCAGCTGCCTAGGGATTTAGGCTGGGGACTTAGGGGCCAGGCTAGAGACTGGGGGGCCCAGAGTGAGGGTTTGACAACTGGCTGAGATTTTTGAGGGGCTTGGGATTGCACAACTGGGGAGCATGGCCAGTGTGTAGAGGGCAGGGGTGAGTGGAAGGGGAAAGAGACTGGGGTACTGGGGGGCCCAGGGCTAAGGATGGAGAGATGCCAGAACTGGCCAAGGTAACCCAGAGAGCTAAGCCATCACTGCAGGAAGAGGGAGCTCTTAGCAGGCAGGCGGACCTGCTTGCCTCCTCCCCAGGCCACAGGAAGAGAATGACCCCAATGCCCCAGAGAACAAATAGGATTCAAAGTTCCCCCAGAGCTGGGTGATGAGAGCCCTTCTGGGGGTGGGGTAGAGTAGGAGGGGCAGGGGCTGTGGGTATGGGGCTCACCCAGGCGGCTCCAGGACACAATGGGGCGTGGGTTGCCCGTGGCGACACACTCGAGCACTGCGGTCTGGTGCACAGTCAGGGTGAGGTTCTCAGGCCCTACAAGGATCGCTGGCTCCTTGTAGGCCCCAGAGCCTGAGCCTAGAGGAAGATGCCACATTTTCTCACTTCAGCTGGAAACTTTCTCTTTTCTACTCCACCCACAACCCAGGACCTGGGGAGTGGGCAGCCAACAGCAGCCCAGAAACCAGGGCTCGTGGGCAGAGAGGCACCAGGGGGCATCCACACACTTGTCCCTCTCGCCTTGCAGGTCCTGTAGCAGTGGGAATGAGCAGAGGATGGGCTTTGCCAGGTAGAATGCAGCCAAGGCCCTGGCCTCAGATGCCTTCTCAGCCACAGCAGCAAGCAGCAGAGCTCTGCGCTCAGAAGGCGCTCTGTATTGGCTGGGCTGCCAAGTCTCAGAGGCCAGTTGAAGGGGGATTGATTTAAAGGTGGGCCTTCTAGGAGACCAGTTGGGGTGGTTGGTCGAAGGGCCAAAGAACTCTCACCTGACACCGTGAGCCTGGCCCCATGGCTGATCCGCACACTCGCAATGTTTGAGGCCACACAATGAAAGATGCCGCTGTCCTCAGCCCGAAGTCCTGTGATCTGCAGGACCCCTTTGGGTAGCAATGTGTACCTGTTGAGGGGAGGGACACAGCCTATTACCTGCATAGCCACTGACACCATGGGCCACAGGGACATGAGCAACAGAGACTCTGCTTAGGACCCCAGGGCTGTCGCCCCGTCACAGACATCATCACAGACACACACCAGGACTCTCAAAGTGGATGCACCCTCAATCCCAGCCTCAACAACAATTGCACACACTCCTCACAGACACATCCATGAGCCTGGAAGCTGGGCCCAGCAAGCACGTGGATACCAGTCTCAGCTATGGCTGTCAAACACCAGTTTCAGGCATTTGTGGGCACTAGCTGGGGCTACCAGAACTCTGTGCAGTCCTTCAAGGCCAAGGTTACTAGCCGCCTCCTTGTCCTCCCCAACGTCTTTCCCACATGTGGCTCACCTCTCATTGTCCGTGTCAATGGGGACTCTGTTCTTCTCCCACGTGATCAAGGGTTTGGGAAGCCCATGGATTTGGCACTGGAAGCGGGCCACACCGCCCTCCTCACCCATGGTGGCCTGGGGATGCACGTGGAAGTCTGACATGGCTGGGGAAAGAAAAGCGTATGGGTGTGGCACCCCATTGAGGTGCAGGGGCAGGCCAGAGTAGGGTGTGGCTAGGTCACAGGCTAGGAGACCTGGGGGCAGAGTTTTCTGTGAGGCATCAGCACTTACCCCAGCCTACCACAGCCAGGAAACATCTCTCCTAAGAGGTGGTGCAAGCTAGACTGGGATATCGTTTACAAAAGGTTCTAACAAACTCCTCAATGACAAACTTCCAATAAGAAAATCTCGGGCTTCCCTCAGTCCCCCAAATCTGACCCGTGAGGGCCAATCAGAGAAGGCCCTTCTCTCAAGTCCCACTCCCTGCTTTTTCAGCTGCTTTCGGATTTTTTTTTTTTTTTTGAGACAGAGTGTCACTTTGTTGCCCTCAGTAGAGTGCTGTGGCATCATAGCTCACAGCAACCTCAAACTCTTGGGCTCCCAGAGTGCTGGGATTACAGGCATAAGCCACTTCACCGACCATGCTTTCACATTTAGTCTCATAAACTCTAAGGTATGCAAGGCTTAAGTATTACGCATCACAATTGACAGAATTGGAAACCATGGCCCAGAGAGGGGACCCAATTAGTCAATGTTGCCCAGCAGGGACAGTGGTCATCAAACCCTGGTTACCCGGGCCCAATATCTTTTTTGGTTCTTCCTCATCACACCTCCCATCCCCAATTCTTCTGCACTTTCTCCAATGTGCCCCAAGAGAGTGATGTATCCATCCAAGGTGACAAGCCTCTCAGAAGACTGTCAGACCTCGCAATCTACATTTCAATGTGTCATAAATATTCAAGGTCCCCTCCCCACCTTTTGGGGATCTGAACCAACCGCTTGAACTCTGGTCTACAGAGACAAGTGGGGGGGGGGGCTGTAGTGCTTCCCCCTCCCAGTTTTAGGCTGGTTAAGTGTTCCTGCCCACCCCATTCCCACCCATCCCCAAGCCCCACCCTATAAAGCCTGGGGAGGGGGGCCCCTCCCACGTGGGTTCCCAGCTTCAGCACCAGAGCTGCAATTTCATTAAAATCCACTTTGCGTCAAGTGCAGGAAGGCGGTACACCATCTGTCCAGGCAGGCAACCCCTCCTCTCAGGCACTCCATCAACTGGGACAGTTGCTCCTCTCCCAGAAGGAACCCTCCCCCCACAGCAGCGGACCGCTGGAGCTCGTCCTGGCTCCTGCTCTTGGCTCCCTGGTGTGGGCAGGCAACCCTCCTCATAGCCCCCATGCCCTATCTCAAGCCCCCTCAATCCACTGGCGTGATCTAGCCTCCAGGGCAGCCCAAAAGGCTGAGCCTTTGTGCCCTTCTCCCCAGAGTCTCTGGGGGCTGTCTCCTTTGTGGCATGCTCTCCATCTCATTTGCATGTGGTTCATTAAATATAAACATGCATAAAATCCCCCGCCCTGCCTCCTCCTCTTTGAGGGCCTCCTGGGAGCACGGTGATGGGTGTGTGCGCCTTTGTACAGCTGAAGGGCTGCTGCGTGTTTGCCGGAAGTGTCTCTGTTATGTGGTCTTAGTGTCCACGTCTGGATGAGGACAGGGGTTTGAAGCCATCAGCTCGTGTGGCTGGTGTGGGATTCTGGGACTGTGCAGGTGATCAATCACCAGTGTCTCCATGCAGCTCCTGCCCTTATACTCAGCACCTTGGGGCCCTGTGCATAGAAGGTGGAGATGGGTATCCCACCCGGTGTCCCCATAATGCTTGGTGAGAGGATCCCCAGGGAGCACTGCAAGGTCAGCCTGTCCTGTCTCAGGCCAAAGGCTGTGTTTGGCAAAGGGCCTACAGGTCAGCACAGGGGCTTGGAGTAGAGGGCCAAGGTGCCACTAGGGACCCTGTACTACCTCCAAGCCTCAGTTTCTAGGAGGGTAGATCTGGATGCTGCAGGTCTGGGGAGCGGAGAGGGCACCCAGGCTCCTGGGTCAGCTGTCTGTACCCTCTAGGCCCTGCTTATTGGAAGGTGGAGAGTGGCCTATCCCCTCCTCACTCCAGCTGGAGGAGCTCGAAGTACCCCCAGGGACCTGGGGTGGTGACTAATGGCACTGCTGACTACAGATGCCTCCTCATTAAGGAACCGAATCCTTTTGTGCTTCTAGCCACCATTCTGGGCTCCCTGGAGGCACCCAGAGCTGGGAAGAGCTGGCCTGAGAAAGGTACTAGGGAAAGACCATCTTGGCAACACTGGCGATGGGGAAGGTCTGGTCTCTACTGTCCAGCTCCCTCCTCTTCCCCCCAAACTAAACAACGGCAGCATGTCTGAATGTGATATTAGAGGGGGGTGCTGCAGCTGCAAGGGTTACAGGTAAGGAGCTGGGCTGATGCCTTCCACACAGCGCATGAGATCCGAGGCTGAGGGCCCCTGGGGCCCTGCGGATGCACCTGAGCACACTTCTGCCCACGTTTCCCTTCCATCAGAGCAGCATCTCCCTGTACCTCTCTCAGGTAGCAGTTCTGACAAATACTTAATTTGAAGCACAGCTTTGCTTGAAAACCACTAATCTGAAGCCAAACCCTTCATTTTACAAAAGGGAAACTGAGGCCTAAGTCCCTTTGTTCTCCAGCAAGTTTCTCATTCTCCCAAGGCAGGTGAGCCAGAGTGGACCACGTGTTGGAATAGATGCTTCTCACTGGCTGAGGGAGAGTAATGAGCCCTAGGGATGGTTCTTCAACCCCACCCCTGGGAGTCCAGCTGGCTGCGCAGCTGGGGTTCCAGGGAGGCGAGTGCAGGAGAAGGGTGTGGTCCTCTTCATCCGCGGCTCCTTCTTTTCTCCCCTCCTCACACTTTACCCAACCCTTAGTCAGCACTGCAGAATCCTTAGGCATCCCAGAGGCTGCTGTGAGGTCCTAGGCACGAAACATCCTCTCAGCGATAAGTGAAGGGGGTGGATGAGGTACTGTTTGGAGCCCTTTATTCCTGACTCTCCACCCATCTTCATGAACAGGCCCTAGTTAGGACCTGCAACTCTGAGCCAGCATCCTCAGCTGAGCTGGAGTCAGCTGGAATCTTCCACCCACTCTTTGTTCTTAGCAACAGCATTTTTTCTTTAGGAACTCAGGGAGAAAGGATCTTGGGGCTACCTGGATCCTCTCTAGGCTCTTAAGATGAAGCACAGTCCATAAGGCCACAGATCTGAGGGCACTATCCCTTAGCATGTCCCTCGGTAAACTTCGGTAAGTGGGGCAGAGGGCTGGACCTCTGAACACCCTGAGCTCTGAATAAGTCATGCTGGAGGCTACTATGTGGCTGATGACAGGGCAAATGCGTTGCTGCTATGGCTGGTGTACATGAAGGTGATGTTGTGACTTTGGCTTTATAGCCTGCAGACACCTGTGGGCCTGGTGGGGACAGCTCTCGGTACCTAACTTCAAGCTAGGTGATGGGAAGAAGTAATAGGCAGTGGGGGGAAGCCCTCCAGATGTGAGGGCCAGAGAAAGCACCAGGAAGGACAAAGGCCTGCTTGGGGCAGTGGAGAGAAGGGAAGAAGAAAGCACCATTGTCCCCAAGCAATCGGAGGAATCTCCAGCCCTCCCTGCCCCCACCATAGGTACAACCACGCTGTGGGGAAACGGAGGGGCAGAGGGTGAGCCCAGAAGCCCAGTGGCTTGGAAGAGAACAAAAACAGGCAGGAAACGGTTCCTGGACACCCCCATAAATCAGCCCAAGGGGAGGGGTCTCCTGAGAGCCAGATCTGTGGCCATTCAGAGAGAGGAGGGGGACTTTCCTCCTGGCCCAGGACCTCTCTCAAGGTCAGGTCTGGATCTGATTAGACAGGCTCCAGGGGGACGCAGGGGGCAGCAGTGGGTGGGAGGGTTGAAGCAGAGCGCTGGGAAGAAAGCTCCAGCCTCCCACCCTTTGGCTTCAGCCAGACTCCCATCCCATGGGTGATGGTAAAAAAGATCCGTGGGCATGTTTGGATGGAGAGTTCAAAACAACCTTTGCAAAAGCCAGTGGCCTTGGGGGTCTGAGGTGCCAGCTGCCTTCACCTCAAGAAGCCATCCAAGAGGAGCGGCTGTGAACCACAGACACCTTCTGAGGCTGGAGGCCAGTCCCCCATAATGTTCATGCTGCCAAGGATGAGGGACACACAGCTTCCCAGATGCCCAGCCACTCCTCAGGCAGCATGGATAATCCAAACGTTCTTGCTGACACATGCCTGAATCCCACACACTCTAACTTCTGCCCCCAACTTTTTCCTCCAGAAGCACATTTTTCAGTAAGTGGCCAGCTATTAAGCCCTTGAAATGTGGCCAATCCAAACTGAGATGTAAGTATAGAAAACACCTAGGATTTTGAAGACATGTTGTAGATAAAAAAAGAAAAGATACTAATTTTAGAGAAACGCAAACCAAACTACAATAAGATAGCACCTCACACCCATTAGGACATGTACTACGAAAAATACAGACAATAACAAGTGTTGGTGAGGATGTGGAGACACTGAAACCCTTGTGCACTATTAGTGGGAATATAAAATGCGACTACGGAAGTCAGTATGACAGTTCCTCAAAATTAAAAATAAAATTACCATTATCCAGGCCAGGTGCACAGTGGCTCACGTCTATAATCCTAGCACTCTGGGAGGCTGAGGCAGGAGGATTGCTTGAGCTCAGGAGTTCAAAAACAGCCTGAGCAAGAGGGAGACTTCAACTCTACTAAAAGTAGAAAAACCTACACTAGTTAAATATATATATATGTGTGTGTATAATTTATTTTTTCTTTTGAGACAGAGTCTATGTTGCCCTCAGTAGAGTGCTATGACATCACAGCTCACAGCAACCTCCAATTCCCGGGATTAAGCGATTCTCCTGCCTCAGCCTCCCAGGTAGCTGGGACTACAGGCACCTGCCACAATGCCCTGGCTATTTTTTGTTACAGTTGCCATTGTAGTTTAGCTGACCTGGGCCGACTGGAACACACTACCCTCAGTGTATGTGGCTGACGTGGTAACCACTGTGCTACAGGCACTAAGCCAGTAGTCAAATTTATAGAGACAGAAAGTG